TTCCGCCTCCAAGGTTGCCGCAAAGTTCAACTGCGCCTGGGCAGCCGCCTCCTCCAGCTCTTTGACCTTAGCCTTGAGGTCGGTGTTCTCTTGGGAGATCCCCTTGAGAGAGTCCAACTCTGCCTTAGCCTTGCCAAGCTCCTCTTAAGCTTTTTTTAGCGTCGTCTCAGCATCGCGTGCTTTCTTGTTGAACGCCTCCAGGTCCTTCTCGAGCTGCTTAATCTTTGTCGCCTGCATCATTATTGTGGCTTTAGGCTCAAGTTCATTTATTGTACAAGAGTATAGAGCAACGTTGTCAGCGTCTCTGGTTGATTTGTTGGCTCTCTTTACCTCTTCCCGCTTGCGAAAGTAGGGACGCTTGAGACCGTCTACCCGCAAAAGAGCCTGCAAAGAACGAATCAGGTTAGATATGCAGGTGAAGTAAGAGTTGAAGTTTATTTTCTTTACTTTCTTTACACCTCACCTCAGCTAGAAGGGATAGAATGCGTTCCAGATTTAACGTCTCTATCCCAGGGATATTGTCTTTGTCCCTCTTCTGGACGGCATCAAGCATGGCCTTGGCATGCTTCTGGACGTCTAGCCAGCGGGGAGAGTGATCTGCACCACAATCAACATTTGATGAGTGCGAAATACAGGCGGCACCAATCTGTTGCCGACCGACTGAGGAAGAAGTCTGTTGGGAGTGGGATTTCACTCGAGAAGGCCACCCTAACTCGAGCGGGGACTCAAATGGGTTTTCCTTACCTTCAGAGGCGGCGTGGTGAGAGCCACCCACAAGTGCTATAAAACCTCAGCCTACGGACAGAGGGTTAACAAGATCAAGACCCAAGCTGCCGGATACCTCCTACATCTTCCCCCCTATGCGAATCTGAGTCTTCTCGGCTTTGGCTCCAGGTGTCAAAGAGGAGGCAGACTTCTTAGACTTGGAGGGGGTAGAGACGGAGTCATCCCTTGCCCGTTTGAGAGACTTCTCAAATGTTTTTGGGATTTCGCCTCCTTGCAAAGCGGATACAAGTCAGTTATGCATCCAGAAATGAAACTTATGAAATTAAGGCAAAAGGGGTTAGGCGTCTTACCTTGAATCTGATCTGAGCCGCCTGTTTATCCGCCAGATCTTTGCGGATGAATGCGGAGGATCGTTTGGGTGTTTTCTCGTCTAGGAGCACGGCTAAAGCTTCTTCTAGAAAAAGAGCAAAGATATCAGTATTTGCATAACAGCTAACATGGAAATAGCCCAGACGGTTAAAATGACAGGTGCATACGTTTGGTAAACATTGTGCTGAGATCGCAGGCGAGCAAAAAGGCCTCGTCCCTGAACCAAGCGCTTTTTGGGATCTAGTTCTTTTGAACTTTATTGTTTCCCAGGTTGACAGGGTAGCAGTCTCAAGACCAAAAAAGTTGGTGTCAATTATTTTGTCACAGTCCTCATCCGGAATCCGGGGAAGACAACACTTTCGACCCAGAAGGTCGGGCTTCTTATTATACCGGCGCAGTTCAAAATTCTCTCGCCAGCTAGGTGGAGACAACAAATAGAAGCTATGCTTCCAGCCGTCAAATTTGGACATTTTGTCCAAAGTCATCATGTACTGAGGGTGCGTGGTCAACGTATACCACACCCTTAAGCCGCCTGGATTGCGACTCAGGTAATACATATGGGCAAAGGCCTCCCAGCCGGGATACAACCCTTAAAATTCACAATTGGCAACATACCCCAAGATGTTGGCCCAGGAATTGTGGGTTAGTTGCCACAATCCAAGGCCAAAGCCTCTTAAAATTGCCTTTACCGCCTCGTGAAGTGGAAATCTCAGCCCGGCAAGGAACGCCGCCTAAAAACATCCAAAGTAGGCATTGGCGTTCCTCTCGTCGTTCTTCTAGGAGACGGTGCCTTCTGCAGGCGGCACCCGGATGCTGAAATTACCTGCTAAGGGGCGCATAAGTTTGGAATTATCCAAGTCCTTGTCCATGTTTGCCCTATCTTTGGCAGAGACGTGGATTTTGAAGGGGTCGTCCTTCTCACTCAATTTCTTCCTCTCCTCCAGCTCACTATCCTCAAGCGATGACAAAGGTTCGTCACTTCTCTCGGAAATGGAGGCGGAGCTTTCTCCGGGTGACTCCTCATCCTGCAATCAGGGCATAGAAACGGACTCCTCACCTTCTCCCTAATCGCATTCATCGAGGAAGGAATTTGCAGGGGTTGAAGGGGCACGTGGAGGAGACCTCTTAGCAGCCGTCGGGTTTTCCCTACCTGACGTCTCCCCCTCAGGCGGTTGCCTTCTTGAGCCCTCGCTCCTATAATCGGGATCTATAGCCGTCTGCATTGTCCGAGCCATTATGTACTGCACAGACACATAGACAGTCGGATTCCAAGCATAAGGGTGGTCCCAACACCCCGAGGCGGCACTCCTAGTCCAAGACTAAGCCGTACCAGGTGACCGGCTGGACTCTAACCTATGTTGTGCCGTGTGTGTTGGTGATGCATCCATTTATTGCAAGAAATATATACGAGCGGGAAAAATGAAAAGAGTTGAGAGAGATAGAGACGGTACCTTTAGATTTGATATCTGAAGGTAAGACGGAACCGGCTGTGGTAGACGGGAATGAGCTTGATTCCTTGCGTTTGACACAGACGTAAAGGCAGACTCTTTCTCTCTCTCTAAGTTTATCTCTCTTAAAAAACTTTTGTAAACGTACAAAAACAATGAGGGTAAACGGCTATATATAGGGGGTAAATCCGGGGGCATTTCCGCAGAAGGTGAATAGTAAAAAATTGGCGGTTCACCCCCCAATGGAAAGAGTGACACGTGTCATAGATGCCACGTAGAATGCCACGTCACATCTGTGAGGAGCAAATGTTTGGGGTAATTTTACCCTGCCACGTGGTCTAATTAGAAAGTAACACGTGTCACCTTATGGTTAGTCCTAAATGGACCAACTCCTGTTTGACACGTGTCATTCCAGAGAAATGGGAAAAAAGGCGGCCTTCATGGCTCGATTACCGAGAAAGCCGCAATGCGGCGCAGCCCACCAATGATTAGGGCTTGATGACCTAATCAGGGGCACAAATCCCAAGGACCCTATAAATAGGGAGATTTCTTCCATTTGGAGGCACATTTTACCATTTTATTACACATTTACTCTTTGAAAGAGACATCTTGAGCTTAGAATCCAGGCAGATACCCATCTAAATTTCCGCACCTTTTTACTCCTATTCAAATTACAAACTTGATCGTCGGAGGCGGAGCTCCAACCACTCGGAGTCTCCGTTTGTTTTACAGGTACAACTCTCGCCGGACCAGACTTTGTGACGCAACTCTCTCGAGGGACAAAAACACCCAAAACATCATCATTAATAAACTTTAGAATAATTTGTAAATAACCACCCAAAAAATAGACCAATTTTGATATAACCACCCAAAAAATATTTTATTTTAAATTACCATCCATTAAATTAAAAAAACGCGCAGATTACCACCCATTTAGAATTTCCGGTTGAATTTCCGTCAGTGGGCCCCACTTTTTTTATTTTTTTCCTTTTTTTTCTTCTATTTTCTGACTTTCTCACTCTCTCTCCCCGATTTTTTCACTCTTCTTCTTCCTACCTTCTTTCTTTCTTCTTCCCAACCACCACCACCACCATTGCTCCACCTTTCACACCACCTCTGGCAACCGTTAACCACAGCACCACCACCGAAAACCGCTTAACCCCTTCGCTATTAACATCAGTTCCTCCATCCAACAAATCCTCGAGTCCTTTTAAACCTCCAGTACAAGCCATAAACAACAACTGCATCGTTGCGTCTAGATTATCCGGCACCGTTAATGGTTCCTCCTTCACCGTGCTTCGCCGAATCGGATCCAGCGACGATTGCCGCCTGAAATTAAACCTCGTTGTGTATCTGAGGGTCCATTGATGAATGCCTCTTGAAGCTGAACCTCCCTGATTTCCTCAACGATCCTGTTGAGAATTGTCTCGATATTCCGCGCTTCAATTGAGCCTCCATTTTTTCCGATTTTATATTTCTTTTTCTCCGATTTTGAAACCTTAATTTTCGCTGATTATCCCTCAATTCAATTGGGGGTTTTCTTAAATTGTGTCAAGAACCCTACTTTCAGAAAACCCCCAATTAATTTGTGTCAGGAACCCTAAATTTAGAAAAACCCCAATTAATTTGTCTGAGGAACCCTAATTCCAGAAAAACCCCAAAATTATTTTCTAATATACAAAAGAACCCTAATCCCAGAAAACCCCCAAAATTATTTGCCAAGATAAAAAAAGAATTGAGCTTACCTAAATGGGACTTAAGTGACTGCACTTGGTTGGGTCAAATTCTTCAAATTAAAGCTTGCAAAAATTGGGAAAATTTGAGGTAAGTGATTTCAATATTGTGGAGGAGTGTGAGAAGTTGTTCAATACAAAAAATCGAGGGAAAAATGAAAATATGGGTCAAATTATCCAGTTAATAGCCATTATGTGGGCCCCAAGGCCGGAAAAGTGACCGGAAAGAAAGAAAAGGTGGTAATCTGAGTGCTTATTTAATTTAATGGGTGGTAATTTAAAATAAAATATTTTTTGGGTGGTTATATCAAAATTGGTCTATTTTTTGGGTGGTTATTTAGAAATTATCCTAAACTTTATACCAATATGTCATCACATGGTTACTTTTACACCAATATGTCACCGATGACTAATTTTTATACCCATCTGTCACAAATTACTAACTTTTATACCAATCTATCACCGGCGACAACTTTTAAAACAATATGTCACAAGGGTGCTAACTTTTATGCCAATTTGGCTAATTGGCCCAAGATGCAATGACTTTTATAATGAATTACATCGATTTGCGCGTGATTTTGTCATGAATTCCCAATTTAATTTCATTTTAGAAAGTATTTTTAATGCTATATATAATCCTAAGAGCTACATATAACATTACCCATCTTGAATTTAAATAATTAAAATCTCAATAAAATAAAGAAATAAACAAAAATATTTACTTTATGTTTCAAAAAAAAAAAAAAAAAAAAAGAAAGAAACAAGACAATCCTTCCCTTATCACACGCCTTATAACATTAATAAAAATAAATAAATATAAAAAAAAAGAAAAAAAAGTAAGAACCCCAACAATGATAATTGCGGTAAGGCCTTTGTATATTCCGTCATTATTTTCCCTAAAATCAAAATATCCCACCAAATTTCTTTACCTAAATTTTAGTAAATTAACCTTTGCTTAACTTTATTTATCAAATTTTCCTTTTATACTATCACCATAAGCAATCTAAAAAGTCAAATTATTAGGAATAATACTACTAAATTTCAGGAACGAAACAGAGGAAAAACACGAAGAAAAAAGCTTGGATTTAGCCGAATATTTTTTTTTTGGAGTACGTCTCAATGTTCAAGGTAATTTGATTTGTTTACTTTATCAATAGAAATATAGTGGTTCTGAATTTAGGGTTCATGTTCTTCAGTTTATTATCATAATTTTATGTTGAAATTTGATTGTGGAAATGAAATTGAATGTTAAAATTATCAAATTTTCATGAATTTCATCCTATTACATTATGTATTAATCATCATAAAAGGCACCTAACTAAATTTTGTTGGCTTTGGGTAAAACGATTGTAAGGAACTAAATTTTATTGATTAAATCATATTAATTAATCAAATACTTGTGCAAACTGCTTCATGATATTTTGAGTATCTTTATATGCCAAGACAAACTAATGCAGTAGTTAAAGTATTGTTGACACATTAACTAACTTAATCAGCCAAGTACTTTTTTTAATCCCTTGTAAATTTCTAATTGCTTAATTTTGTGTTATTAATTCATAGCTATGTTACAACATCTTTTAATGTAATCAACTTGTTTATACATTTTAATATGATTATTATATAGGACATCATGGTGTCAAATAATCGTGAGTGGATGCAATACAAAAAAAAAATGATCCTAAGTATAAGATTGGCGTAAAAGAGTTTCTACAATTTGCTTTTTCAGAAAAAAATGTCAAAGCTATAGCACCTTGCCCATATGTCAAATGCAACGATGAAAGGAGAAAATGTAGAGATGAAATAACGTTAGATTTGCTTAAATTTGGGATTGTTAAGAGTTATACACGTTGGTTGCGACATGGAGAAATGATTGACAATTCAACAATTCATGATAATATTATAATTGATGATTCAAATGAATACCCATTGCATGAGCATGATGTCATGTTTGATATGCTACATGATGCCTTTGGAGTTCAATTTGACAATGTTCTTGGGGACGAGACAGTTGGTGTGAGTGAATTTAAAGATCCTCAGAAGCAACAAAATTCTTTTACAAATTGATGGGTGATCTTGAGTTAGAGTTGTATCCAGGCTGTAAGAAATTCTCAAAACTGTCTTTCTTGCTTAAGTTATTCCACATAAAATGCTTAGGTGGAATAAGTGACAAAAGCTTGTCTATGATTCTTGATCTATTTAAAGAAGCATTGCTGGAAGGTAACACTCTGCCAAAATCTTTTTATGATGCTTAAAAGATGATAAAGAGCCTATCTCTTGAGTCCATCAAAATTGATGCATGTCCCAATAATTGTATGCTATTTTGGAAGGATCATGTGAATGCAGACGAGTGCGTTAAGTGCCATGCTTCTAAATGGAAAATTGATGAACGTAATAATGGATCTTCCACCTCATAATGTAAGCCTCGAAGGACTCCTAGAAAGACAATGCGTTATTTTCCTTTAATTCCCCGGCTTCAGAGAATGTATATGTCATCTAAAATTGCAGCAAGTATGAGATGGCATACTGCTGAGCGTGTCAGTGACGATGATGTTATAATGAGACAACCAGCAGACTCTAAAGCATGGAAATTTTTTGATGAAAAATATCCTTCATTTGCCTCTGAACCTCGTAATGTTCGCCTTAGGTTAGCAAGTGATGGGTTTAGCCCCTTTAGAAATGGTCATATTCCTCATAGTACATGGCCCGTAGTTCTTATACCATATAATTTACCGCCGTGGCTTTGTATGAAACAACATTCTTTCATTCCAAGTCCTAAGGGGCCGAAAGATAAGATTGATGTTTACTTGCAACCTTTAATAGAGGAGCTAAAATTACTTTGGGAAGTTGGTGTTGAAACATATGATGCTTCAAAGAAAGAGAACTTTAAAATGCATGCATCTTTGTTATGGACTATAAGTGATTATCCAGCCTTTGGTGATTTATCTAGTTGGAGAACTGGAGGAGCTGTTGGTTGTCCCTCTTGTAACAGTGATACTTGGTCTGAGTGGTTACCAAATGGAAATAAACATTGTTATATGTGTCATCGTAGATTTTTACCTTTAGATCATAAATAGAGGTACAATGGAAGAGCCTTTGATAGAAAACAAGAGCTAAGACCTACACCCAAACCATTATCTAGTGAGGAATTGCTGCAGCAAATTGATGCTGAACAAGTTGAATGTAATAAGAAAAAGAGAAGGCGTGATAAGAAAAAGAAAAAACAACCGAAATTATGGCGAAAGAAGAGCATTTTCTTTGAATTGCCATATTGGAGTAGTCTTTTGATACGCCATAATTTGGATGTGATACATATAGAAAAAATGTATGTGAAACTTTACTTGGGACTATATTAGATATAAAAAGGAAAAACTAAGGATAATTTGAATGCACGTCTTTATCTACAGGAAATGAAAATTAGAAAGTCATTGCACCCTATAACACGTCCTGATAAATCAAAAGAGCTACCTCCAGTTCCTCATACATTATCTTTGGAGCAAAAGAGAGATTTGTGTAATTTTTTGACTAGTGTGAAGTTTCCACATGGCTATGCTTCAAATATTTCAAAAAATTCCCTCCTTAAAGAATGTAAACTCTTTGGATTAAAAAGCCATGACTATCATGTTATTTTAGAGCATCTATTGTCTCTTGCTATACGTGGTTGGCCTAAATCATTGTCTACTCCACTTATTCAGTTGAGTACCTTTTTCAAAGAGTTATGTTCTAAGGCTTTGAAGATTGATGAGTTTGAGAAACTTGAAAAACAAATTGGTGTAACCCTATGTGAGCTTGAAAGAATTTTTCCACCTTCCTTTTTTGTAATCATGCTACACTTACCTGTTTACCTTGCAAGTGAAGCTTTGGTTGCATGACTAGTTCATTATCATTGGATGTACCCCATCGAAAGGTACATAAATTTCATTCTGCTTGTTTTTATAATAATAATAATTATTATTATTATTTTAGTCAAATATGTAAGTTTTACTATTTTCATATAAGTATCTTGGAAAATTAAAAGGGTATGTACGCAATAAAGGTCACCCGGAAGGATCAATGGCATAAGGTTATCTTTTAGAGGAATGCTTGACATTTTGTTCAAGATATACGGAGGATATAGAGACAAGATTTAACAAATAAGATAGAATTTATTATGATCGTGAAAGTTTTTGAGCTGATATCCTACCTATATTTGAGACAAGAGGTAGAGCATTTGGGAAGGAATGTCCTCGTTTACTTACTACAAAGGAATGGGAAGAAGTTCACTTTTATGTGTTGAATAATTGTGACTAAGTACAACCATTTATTGAGTAAGACTTATATATTTTAGTAAGTACAAAGATTACTTTTGATAGAAAAAATATATATAACTTTTGTAATTATCTATCACAGTGAGTATACTCGCAATGCTACAAGTTACAAGAGGATGATTTTGTTTCATAAAAAAGATTTCATAAAATGGTTTAGAGATCAAGTATTTATTTACTTATTTCTTATGTTTTTTCCTATTTTGAAAATTATATTGTATTTGCTACCGCTTTTTTAGTCCTATGGTTATGGATCTACCCTCTTTTCATCGAGCCAACAAATAGCCTATACTTAGCTTTCTCATCAAACAATATAGCACTGATCAGATATTTGTAACTATAAGAAACTAATATATGAGTATGATTAAAAGCTCCCCATACTGATAGGACAAGAGTTTTACATTCCTAGTATTTTTGCTAATTTATTATTATGTCATTTGCCTCTCTGTTTTAGTGCTAATAAGACACTTATTAAATTGACATCAAATTTAGATGCCAAACCCATATGAATAATGTTTTATGTACCAGCCTTTAGAATATAACTCTATCATGCAGTTTTGTTCTTTATGTACAGTGTCATAGGTTCACAAATCTGATGGCAATCCACTGGCCACTTTATTAAGCTTCGTTACTTACTAGCTACTGTAAGTGCTAGTGCATATGTGATAAGGATTTATCCATTGGGTTTGTGTTAAGACCATGTTCAACTACTTTCGCAAACACCCTTAGTTGTGACATTGAGATGCAGAAGTTGTATCTGCACAGTATATAAACTGAAACTCTGTTTAGAAGGCATTATGTTAGGTTTGGGTTTAATCCTACTAGATTAATATTTTAGCTAGAAAGACCAACAATATTCATAATTTGATACTACCTATAATTAGATTAATATTGTCAAACAAGATGAATAAATAATATACTTGAAATCAAGTAATCAAACTTCATGACTTTAAGTTTAACTAACTCGTCTATTTTCTCAAGCAGCCATGTTAGTTTCAAGTTAGTGGTTTTAACTTTTAAGGGATCCATCTATTTTAGAACCCCATCAGCCCCTTATTAATTGTGCTCTATTACCAACCTTGTATGTATTGATCTCTTTCCTAGTGAGATTACACAAGTCCTTAAGTTGTCAAATTTTTAATTATTATGATTATTAAATAGTATATAATGATAATTGGTTTATATAAAGTTTCATGCAAACATAGAAATTAAATTGTTATGATATTTTGGTTTAATTTTTTTTTACGGCTTTTTATGATTATCTTCTATGTTTACATATATTTATCTATTTTATAGGTGACAATTTTGTCAAAGGAAAACCATTCAAGTGCTACTACTAACTTAAGAGCACTAGCACAAGGTCCGGATCGTGCAGTGATATCTTTAACTGGCTACATGGCTAATGGATTTATGTTTCGTACCAAGGACAGTGAAAGGACAAGAGAAACACAAAATAGTGGGATTGTTGTGAATGGAGAAAGTGGATCATCAACCCTTAACTATTACGGCCTCTTACAAGAAATCATAGAAGTTCAATATATAGGAGGAAATCGTGTTACTTTGTTTAAGTGTGACTGGTGGGATGTGCACAGTTGGTCAAGGGATCAATGCTGACTATTTTGGCTTCATAAACGTAAATACATCAAAGTTGTTAGCTAATGATCCATATATTTTAGCTACACAGGCTCGCCAAGTATTTTATGTGAATTATGTTTCAAAGCCTAATTGGAAGGTTATAATTGAGACCACGCCAAGAAACTCATATGATGTCCCAGAGCTCAATGATCATGACGGAACTAATCATATGGATACTATGTATCAATGACCCTTTTATTATTATTGTTTTTTTTTTTTGTTTTTGTTGTTAACAATTTTTTTATCTTGTTCTTTTTTTTTTTTTTTTTTATTTAATAATAAGTATTGTTGTCGTTTAATCTATAAATTCCTACTTTACACAATGATTTTTTTTTTTTTTAATATATTATCATGATTCGATTTATTCACATACATTTATTTTTTTTAGCTTTGATTTCTAATATTTATTTTACAGGTATTTATATTTTTTTTAGTTCTAATATGATAGGCACATCTAAAGAATGATAATATAACTGCAAACGGTTATGGACAATAAAACTCAAGACAATTGAAGATCAGATGTTGGACATTAAGCACTTTGATGACTATATATCAAGCTTAGTAGAGAATGTAAAGCCACTAGTACTAGTGTGCATAAACTATATTAAAGGTCCCAACAATGGCCTACTAGTTGACATAAAAAGTATTTGATATTTAATTACTTATTTATACTCCAATGATCTAATTAGTAGCCTAGTAGGTTACATGATCCACTATAAAATAAAATAAAAGTATAGTAGCTTAATTTAGGAATAAGTTAGGGGAGGTACAAATATTGTTGTACTTACTCTCGGTCATTATAGTATTGAATAGAATGAAATTATGATTATATCATCCGTAATTCATGAGTAATCCGTCAATGTCTGCTACAGTTTACATGGATCAATTCCTCCCCCATCACCAACCTACATGAATTGATTCACTTATAATTAGATCAACTACAATTCTACAATTACAAACAACATATACGTATAAGTAATATGATGTACTTCATTGGCCCCTTTGAAGCAATTGTCCAATAAATCTTTTATGATGCCTGAAATGAACACATCTTAACCTACTCATAACTTAAAGGCTCCAATTGTAAAAGTCTCGCACAAGAAAAATATACTTGATCATTTCCTTTTTAATGCATCACTATACATAATACAAATACAATTTCTAGTTTTTTAAGAGGCAACAAAAAAGTTTTAGAGGCAACCATAATTTCTCGAATGCTAAAAAGAACATTTAAAGGCAACATAAAATTCATTATTCCTAAAAAGAAGTTTTAGAGGCAACCACATTGTCACTAATGCTAAAAATGAACTTTTAGAGACAATTTATAATTCACTACTGCTAAAACTAACTTTTAGAGGCAACAATAATTTCATTGATGATTAAAAGAACTTTTAGGGGATTCTATAATCCATTAATGCTAAAAATAACATTAAGAGACAATAAGAGTTTAATTGATGCTAAATATATCTTTTAAAGATTACAAAAAATTATTTGCCTCAAAGTTTTGCCTCTATAGATAAAATTTTTTGTAGTGTCAACGTCGACGTAGAGTTGAGGCTTCTCTGGAAGTCTTGTGGGCTGACTGCCCTGTTCGAGGCCGCATATGCCATGATTTCTTCTGACAGGGGTCACCGCGTGGCTCGCGCCTTGGTGGAGTTCTTCTAGGACACCACCTACACTTTCTACTTTCCTTGGGGTGAGATGATGGTCACCCCAACCGACTTCAGTCTCATTACGAGACTGGAGTTTAGTTCTACTGCGCTGTCGTTCGACAGCAACATAAGCGTCTACTCTCCTGAGGTTGACGAGCTTCTGGGTCCGATTTCTGTTCGAGCCCGTACTGAGGTGGAGTCAGCACAGTTCAGTGCCAAGGGTATTCACCAGTCGACTCTGGCGGCAACTTTTGAGGATGATGCGACCACCTGAGAGCAGGGGGTGCGCATCTTTGCGCTTATTTTGCTGTCAGTGACGTTTTCCCCTGACAAGGGAAGTAGAGTGCTGCTTTACTACCTTCCTGCAGTCCGTGATCTTCACATGATCGGAACTTACGACTAGGCCAGCTTCGCCTATGCTGATTTTGTTCGAGCGTTGCGAGACTCGTGTCGACACCAGTCCTGCACGGGGAACGTCGCTTTGTCCAGCTTCTAGAGAGTCGTAGAGGTATACTTTATCTCCTATTAAGTTAGCTCTAAGCTTTTGTTAGCACTTGTTGATACTTTTTGTCTTTTGTAGATCTGGTTCTACGAGTACTTTCCTTCACTCGCATCGATGAGATCGTCGCCACGCGGGTTTCCAATGAGCGCCTGTTGGGGAGGCCGCCACGTACGGATGTCTACCACCCATGTTCAAGAGCAGATCCTCTGGGTATGATTTTTTTCATAGTTGAACACTTTTGTATTACATTTGGTAGATTTTCATCTCATAAGCATTCTTCGTAGGAAACTGATGTACAGTACCGGCCATGGAACGGCTTGGTTGTCCCTGGGTTAGCTACGTAGTACACTGCTAAGCGTCGCTACTTCTTAAGGACATATGGGGAAGTGGCATACTTAGGAGAGAGGGTTGCTATTCAGCACTCCTCGGATGTTTTCGTCATTCTTGCTTCTTGATGAGTGTTATTTATGGCACTCATTTGACCTCTTTTAGGATGATTTTCATGCTTCTTTATAGCCCTTTTCCTTAGATTTTCCTTAATTTTGTTCTTTATTTCGTTAGTTTGTGCTTTCCATAGTTAGTTTCCTTGTTTTATGCATTTCTTTGTTTATTTGTTCTTTTTCCCTTTTATTTGTTTGTTTTTAGTTTATGATCGTTTCTCCAAGGATTCCTGAGCCTTCCTCTCATCAATTTGGATGCCTCATGTTCGCCTTTTGGAGCTTCAAGTTTAAAGGAACGCAAAAAGCAAGTCAAGAGATCGATGCACGTATGCGGTGTGGGCGTAATCTTTTCCATGAACCCACCAAAATGGCCCTCTCAAGACTGCGCACCTTGGTGTTCATCATCATCATAAAGTCGAGCCCACGAGGATGAGCTTGGAAGAAGAAGAGGGGGGGGGGGGGGGGGCTCCCCTGCTGCCAGGTGTGGGCGCGCACGAGGGTAGTGCGGTTGCGTACCTGGGTGGCGCAGGCGCGCCTGCCAGGGTCCCTGTTCCATACCCGCGGCCGTGCCTCTCCTCTAATGCGACCGCGCCTTCCGGGGTCTCTTTTGGGACGATCTAACTAACTCTTCTTTTGTATCTTTTCTATATATAGTTTTTCCTTCTATTTTAGGAGGAGAGAAAAAATTAAAACAGAATTAGAATTAGTTTTTGATCAAGTTAGAGAGATTTTTAGAGAGAGAAACTCTAGGTTTTAGTGAGAGAAATTCATGGTGGATTATTGATGATTGAAGCTTTCTTTAATTCCTTTGATCTTTGATCAAGATTGTAAGATTTCCTTTTCTTTAATTCAATCTTTAGTTTGATTTTTAGTTTGATTTCAATTGTTTGTTGAATGTTCAAGTTTGATTGAAGATTGATTGATTTGTGTTTGATTTTAGCTTGTTTGATTTGATCATGATGAATTTGTTGCTTAGTGTTGTTTTGATTTTGATTTCAATGGCTAGTGAGTAGATAGCTTGCTAGGGTAATGGTGAAGCATGTATGAGTAATGGATTAAAGCTAATTGGGGAAAATTAATGGAATTGACTATGTGACTAAATTGGTTGATGATCATGTGCATGTGTGTGATTAATTAAAGAGTAGCTAACTTTGATTGTTGCACTAGATTGCATTGTAAGTTCACATTGATACGGACCATTTATTTGTGGCTTGCATTTACACGATTGAGGTGTCTTGTGATGTTTCCTAGCTAGAGTTTATCGTAGTTGACGCTAGTTAGACCTCTAGGAGAATATCTTGATATGCTCTTTTGGTTGCATGATTGATTTTCCCTCACATTGCTTAACTTAGTCAATTTGACCTCCCAATTAGTTGAATCCGTTATGATTACATGTGGATCCTAGCCCTAGTGTTTATTACATTTGATTTCTTCTCGTTTATTAGTCGTCTTTGTCCTAGCATTAGCATTCACACCCAATCATTACATTTCGGAATAGCTTGACCATAGACAATAGATAATCGCCCACCATTCCTTTGGGTTCGACCCTCAACTTACCATTATACTTGTGTAGGGGTATGCTAAGTGTTTACAAATTTTGTTTGGCCTCGGGTAGGGGTTAGTTTCAACGACCTAGCTTCAACCCGCGCCAAAATGGCGCCGTTGCCGGGGAATGGCGTTGTGATTTTGTATTGTTCTTGAGTTTATTCCATCTTATTCAAAAATACAAAAAGATTTTTCTTCTTTCTATTAGGCTACACTTGTAGCCGTGTTACTACCAATTTCTTTTGAGCTTTTGCATGCATTGTAGAACTCGTGTTAGGACCTTAGTTCCTTTAGATCCAGAAATTGAAAGAACTCTTTCACAAAGAAGGGTAGCCAACTGATCTTTGAGCCTATGTTCCTCAAGTGAAAAAGAATTTGAGGAAGAAGAAGAGCAAGCCATGGGAGAGAATCCAAGAGTAGCTTTGTAGGAGTTGGGAATTCCCGGTGCTTATAGGTTTGAGAGTGGCATTGCTCCACCTACACCACCGGCGAACGATTTTGAAATTAGACCGGCCATGATTACTTTGATAGAAAGGAGGCAATTTAGTGGAGCCAAGAGTGAGAGCCCGTTGAATCACCTAAGGGAATTTGAGAAGTATTGTAATACTATCAAGGTAAACGGAATTTCTCAAGAGTTTATTCGACTAAAGTTGTTTCCCTTTTCTCTTATTGGTCGTGCCTTAGAGTGGTTGGATAAAGAGGTTAAGCCAAATTCCCTTACGACATGGGATGAAGTCACCAAAGCTTTCTTGTCTCGCTTTTACCCACAAAAGAAGACGGCGGAGGCTAGAGCCTTGATCCAAGGATTCAAACAAAGGCCTAATGAGAATCTCTATGAAGCATGGGAGAGGTACAAAGAGTACCAAAGAGAGTGTCCACATCATGGAATTCCTATCTATCAAGTGATACAAATTTTCTATAGAGGCTTGAGTGCTCAAGGCAAGTCATGCCTAGATGGAGGAGCCGGAGGTCCTATAATGAATAGGACGGAAGAAGAGGTAGTTGACATAATTGAGGATGTGGTGAGATACTATAGAGATTGGCAAGAAGGAGAGAGAGAGAGTCTACAAGCAAGAGTGGCTCGACGGTTTATTCTGTGGATCATCTCAATGCGATTAACAACTTGTCTTCCCAAATTTCAAATGTAGGGAAGGAAGTGACGTCGATCAAAGCAAAGCTTGAGAGTGTTTCTACGAATTCATTGAGTTTTACCTCCCAATCTAAAGGGAGAGGTACATTTTCTAACTCTTCTCCTTCTACTTCCAATAACATGCCAAGTGGTTGTCTATTTTGTGATTCTTGTGGATCTTATGATCATGATTCTTCCATGTGTTCTCAAACTTTTGTTGATGGATGTGATGATGTTGAAATTAATGAATGTGAACATGTGAACTTTGTGTCTAATGTCAATGGTGGTCAAAGATTTGATGGTCCTAAGAATTTTAGTAATAGGAATTCTCACCCCCAAGGTGGTTTCGATAACTATAACAATGGAGGCTATAGGAACCAAGGAAACCAAGGTTTTCGAGGTAACTATAACAACCAAGGCTATAGTAATCAAAATCCGAGCCATGGGTATGGTAACCAAAGTAAATCTCAAGGCTTTGGTAATCATTACTATAATGGTGGCAATAATCAAGGCCGTGGCAATTGGAACAACAACCAAAATCGGGGAAGTTTTCAAAATAACAACCAAAGGGAACCCCCACCCGGTTTAGCTCCAAAACCTCAAGGCAATGGTGAAAATTCTTATTCCCAAACATCATCATTTAAGACAAATTTGGAAGAAATGATTGATAACCAAACCAAGATCATCAACACATATATGGCGGTGAGTGACAAGAAATTTAATGAGATGATGACTCATAACAAAATGCTTGAGACTCAAATAACCCAACTAGCCAACAGTCTATAGGATTGTGCTAGTTCATCCTCTTTGCCTTCTCAAGGAGTGGAACCTAAGAAACTCGTTTGTTCTATCACCACTAGGAGTGGGAGAGTTCTTAATGAGGGAGCTTCTAGGTCCATTGAGGAGGATGAGGAGAGGAGTGACCCAAGAATGGAAATTGAGAAGGATGAGTCTAAGAGTGTGAGTTATGAGGAGGTGCAAGAGAAAAAAAGGAGTAGTGAGAAAGAGCGTGAGGAAGTGCGGAGACCCGACCTTCCATACCCACAAAAATTCTTGAGGCACAAAATTGATGAGCAATTTGGAAAGTTTATTGCTATACTCAAGGAAGCTCACCTTTCTATCCCCTTCACCGATTCAATTACCCAAATGCCTAGGTAATCTAAGTTGCTTAAGGAGATTTTGAGTGGGAAGAGAATGTGCAATGAAGTTGATTTGATTGAAGTTGGGAGTTGTTGTAGTGCTTTCATTCATAATGAGTTGCCCAAGGAAATGAAGGATCCGGGAAACTTCTCTATTCCATGTGAGATCAAAAGGAAAATGTTTAATAATGCTTTTTGTGATCTTGGAGCTAGTGTAAGCGTCATGCCTTATTCCATTTTCAAGAAACTCAAGCTAGGTGAGCTACTCCCATCTAACATAACCCTTCAATTGGCCGATCGAAATATTATGATTCCAAAGGGGAGAGTTGAGGATGTTCCTCTTAAGATAGGAGGGTTCACTATTCCCGTTGATTTCATTGTGCTTGAGATTGCGGAAGATGACCATATCCCTATCATTTTAGGAAGACCTTTCTTAGCCACTTCGGGAGCCTTAATAAATGTTAAAGGAGGCCGTATTACCTTGAGAATTGGTAAGAAAGAGGAAAGCTTTGAGTTGAAACCAATGAATGAGTCTTTGTCTCTTGTGAAAGGAATTATGTGTGCTAATTCCCCTCGCTCTATTGATAATGTGTGCATGATTAATTCTTCAACTAACGATGATCTTGAAAATTGTGATGATGTTCTTTCAAGTTTTGATGGCAAGAAGGTTATGAAGAGAAAATGATGATTCCTAAGCTAACGGACGAGGAGGAAGTTAAAATCCCTCACTGGTTTGAGCTCTATCCTCAAGATGAAGAGGATGTTTCCATGAGTATGGATGGTGAGGAACCATCTACAATAAGCAACAAGACAAAGAAAAAAGCTCGTGATTCAAAGAAGAAGAGAGAGAGAAAGAAGTTACGGAAAGAAAAATTTGCAATTGAAAAGTCTTTGAAGGAAGTTTCATCAAGCAACAATAAGAGATTGCTAGAATTTGAAAAAGAATTTGCTATTTCTGCTAGCTTGAAGAAGGTGGTGTTCTTTACCCTCCATGATTTGGAGGAAGGGTCGAGCTTAGGACCAAAAGCAAGCGCTTCCCGGGAGGCAACCCGGAGATTTCTAACTTTTCTTTTTGATTTTTGAATTTCTCTTATTTTTCCTTCTTTTATTTTCTTTTCTTTCACTTTTCTACTTGATTGGATTTGTAGGTTGCATTTTTGGGATTGGATTTCATTAAGTGAGCATGAAGAACGAGAAGGTGTTTTGTGGTATTTGATGTGATTATACTCGATTTTATCAAAATTTGAGGTAAAAGAGTAAGAATCTTGGTGAGGTAAGTTAGGGATTTTATACTTTAAAGTTGAAGGATGTTTGCACTTGGTGGGTTCTTATGGTGGGTTCATGACGTTCTAGTTTTAAACCCACTAAAACGGGATTTTGCTACTGCCTATGTTGGTGTTTATCATCATCATTATTTGTGTACCCACCAACGAACGCACAAAGAACTTAAAAAAAATAAGAAGAGAGAGCTAGGCTGGGCTCAGCTGAGGGCGCGCACGCATTTGGTGCGACCGCGCACCTAGCTGGTGCGGGCACGCATCAGCCCGTGCTCCCTTCTTTATTTTCCTTCCTTCCTTTCTTCTTTCATGTCCCCTTATTCCCCCTTCATAGTTTCGACCCCCATCACCCTCAAACCCTCAAAACCGCACCACCACCTTCAACAAATCATCTAAATTTCAACTCAAATCACTTATATTTTCACTCCAAATTCACTAAAACCTTCTACATTTCCATCCAAATCATCAAATTCATACTACTTTCATCAAATTAAACCTCCAATCTCTCCCATCCATACTTGGGTAGAATTTGGGGTTTTTCTATTTGGTAGATATTGGTGGTTAAAAGCGGTTCAATCTTGCTTCATATATGGTATAATCATCTTCTCTAGCTTTTAATTGCTCAATTATGTCACATATTTACAAGTTTTGATTTGTTCATGAGCATGAATAGTTGTAGTACCAACTTTGATGATTTAGATGATTGATATTGGTTTTTGGTTGATTATTTGAGTTGTTTGTGGTTTGATTTTACCTCACATTGTGTTGTTTGTTGATTTTGTAGCATTTGAGAGCAATTTTGTTGAGAATTTTGGAATTTGAATTTTGGTAGTGTGGGTAGTAAGGGCTATTGTGGTATTGGTGGTTCTTCTTGTGATTGTTGATTGTTTGAGTAGAAATTGTTGGTTGTTTGGTGTTGTTTAGTAGTTTTGATTGGAATTGTGATTTGTGGATATTGAAATTCTTTGTTGGAGATTTTGCGGATTGTTGTGGGAATTTTGTGATTGGTTTTTGTGATCCTTGCACTTGAAATTCAACATGTCGAGAGTCCTCAAAAACCTTGTTAAGAAACGGAAAACAAACGCCTCCACCGATGAACCTACCCCAAGAACATCCTCCTCCCAAAAACGTAACCCTACTCCACCACCCAAAAGAAAATTCAACGATAAAAAACACAAGAACCGATACCATAAACTAAAAGAAAACCTCTCCCTCAAACCCAAAAGAGACTACTTTCAATCCGACATGTCCACATTGGAGATTAATGAGGATGTAAGGGAGTTGTTGATCAACCTACGAATGGGAACATTCATCTCCCGGACCAACCGCACCTATGTTGAGCCCACTCTCGAATTCTTTGCTTCGATTGAGATAGTTCCTGTAGAGGGCCAATATAGGGTTCAATTTCAAATTTTCAACAGCTTCTTTGTCCTCTCCTTAGGGCAATTCAATGCCGCTCTAGATTTTGATCCTCATGGTAACATTTTGGATCTAAAGCCTTATATTTTTGAGGAGTATGATCAAGATTCTTGGTGGGACGATATCTCCGGAGGTGGTGAGTTTGTCACCAAGCGGGCCAAGATTAGCAATGTCTACCAACCTTGTTTTCGGGTTGTTCACCGTCTTTTGGGGTACTCAGTTTTCCCTAAGCAAGAGTTGGGCAAAATGAGCAAATTGGAGCTCAAAATTCTTTGGTTGGCCACAAGAGGAGAATATCGTGGCCGGTTGAACTTAGGGTACATTTTTGCCACTATTGTGTAGCCTTGCAAGACCGGGACACCGGGGAGATTCCTTGTGGGGGTATGGTCACTAGAATCTTGACCAACCTCCACCTTGATCATCATTTGCCTTATTGCAAGCCGGTTGGAGATGCCGACTCCGTTTACCTTGACATGAAACAATTGGGGCAAATTCAATTTGTCTCCAAACATTATGAGGAGGGAAATTATGAGTGGCTTCGGGATAACAAGCATTGGTGCTACCTTCCCAACCCATCTTTGACATCTCTCCACCAGACGGACACCCCTAATGTGTGGCATGTCCCCAAGAGCTTTCGTCGCCCATTCTTTGATTCCGATGAGGAAGAAGAAGAAAAAGAAGTTGAGGAAGAACAACAACAACAACAACATCAACGTCAACAACAACAACAACATCAACGTCAACAACAACAACAACATCAACAACAACATCAACGTCAACAACAACAACAACAACAACATCAAGGGCAAACACAACAACCTCAATTTGCTAGCTCCGAATTGGAGGCCCTTAGTAACCAAATGAGTGGGTTACAAATCCGCTTGGAGGGCATGTATGACCAAGATTTTGAGGCCCTCTACTCCCATATGCAAGGTATTTCTGAAATGCAACAAGGTATGTTCATTCAACAACAACAACTTTATGATGCGGAGGTTAACCGAGGGAGCATCACTCCCCCGCTTAACTATCCTTACTTTCCGCCCCAGCAAGGTCCTATACTTTGCATGGGAATCCTTATTGGCAAGGGCCTTTAGAGCCCGGTACCGAGCCCCGTTCTTACCCGGACGAGCGTGGTAACTACGACAACCGAGCTCCCGGAGGGTTTGACTATAAGGGTGACCCTAATTACCCCTATGTGCACCCTAACCATCCATTTGAGCTCACCTTGCCCGAGCAATTCACACCTCTTGCCCCTTGGCAACAAGATAACTTCAAGGGGCAGTATGGTTGGCCCGAGGGATTCACCGGAGGTTGGGCTCCTTATTCACCCCCAACCTTCGATGACTACATGGGCAACAACGATTCTACTGAGGTCGGGCCAAGTGGTGGTGGTAATGACGAGTCTTAGTTCCCTCTCTTTTGTACCTCTTACTTCCATCCCTTATGTTTATGTGCTTGATTTGTATTGTTGGGATGTTGAGATGTATTCATGTTTAGCTTGGGGGAACTTCTTTTTTATCTCGGTTGCCAATATTTATTGTTGTTGCATACCTTGAATTTTATTTGCCTCTTGCATGATGGTTTCCTTATCTTGGTCTCTAGTCTTGTTGTTGTTTGTTGCTAGTCCTATGAGTTTGTTTTGCTATTGTTGTTGTGATGATTTCCTTGTGATGATGTTGATTGTTTCTTGCTCCCCTATATATCCAAATCCCTTATATCCAAAACCCTTGAATTCAAATCCCTTTGAATCCAAATCTTGTAGTTCAGTACCTTTTAGTTAGTTAGTTGTTTAGTTGTTTACTTAGTTTTTCTTTACTTTCCGTTTTGGTTTTTGTTAGCCTAATTTTGCTCCGTTTTTTAATGTTTTTGTTAGCTTAATTTAGTTTTACTTTTTAGTATCTTTCTCTTTTGTTTTGAAGTTACTAAACTTTTTCTTTGTTTATAGCTTCTTTTACTTTTCTTGTTCTCACACGGCTTTTTGATGATGCTTACAATTTTGGAGCGCAACGATGGTGGTTCTTTCTTCCACCTTTTTTTTTATTATGCTAAGCATGGATAGCCCGGTGAAACCTTTCTAATTTTTCTCTTTATTTTCTTTGGATGCATAGATTAGGTTTAGTTTAGGGTAAGTTGAACGGTTCGAGGATGATTTCTTGTTAACACGTAACGTGTTTGGGATCGTTGACGATGTTGTCATTCGATCACTTTTATGTCGATTGGGATATATGTGCTTAACTTGCTTTCTAGTTTTTTTTCTCCATTTCTCCTATTCTTCCTTTATCTATGACTTTCCTTTTCCTTTTCTTTTCTTTTATTTTTTCCTTTGTTCTTGTTTTGGTTTGTGGTATGCTTTTGAGGCTTATTTTTCACCATTTTTATTTTCCTTATGAGTTGGACTTTGTACATTGGACTTTGTCTTTTGAATGATTTTCTTCCTAGGTAGTAATGGTATGCACGGTTTGAGATTATGCTTGGTTGACTCTACGATAGGTGTATGCTAGGATAGTTGATTTGAACTAGGTGGATCATGAAGCCGAATTCTACTTGTTTGTGGCATGTTGGTAGTTGCTCCCTATAGTCAATTTGACACCTCTAGTGAGTTTTTGCTACATCCATGTGAGGTTCATCGTTCTTCAAGCCTTCAACCTATTTTGTATGAGCGGCATGGATCCTTGACTATTGCAAACCTAATCTATAAAGCTTGATTTATGATTCTTAAACCCGAGACCGAGCTATCTAGGGAGGACAAAGGCACCTTTTTCGGTGAGGTATTTTTCAAGTTTAGGATATTTTGTTTAATATTTGTTTTTGGGTTTACATTTGCCTTCTGTTTAGATCTTTTGCCTTTTGTTTCATTTTCTTTCTTTTCTTATTTTTTTGAAGCAATTGATCATTCTTGAAGGAGTTTGTGGTGATATAGTTGGGATATGTGGTTCCATTGATGCAAGCTTGTGATTATGTTTTCTTTTTGAATAATGGAAAATGAGTA